AGGGAAGTAAAGCGCGTTTAGCAAACGGAGGGGTAAGTTACGGGCTGTTAGAGCCAGCCCTTCCTAAACCCGGCCTGAAAAAGCTACACGCTTGTACCTGCTCACAAGGATGCACGAAGAAAGCAGCGCTTAGGAAGACTTACATACATGCTAGTTCTTCCCATTAAATATTTTAACAAAGTGGAATATCAGTGATAAAAAAGTGGAAAAAAAAAAGTTGCTTTGAAAAAAAAAATCATGATTCATGTCTGTTGGAAAAGAGTCAAAGGTATCTTCTCTGTAGTGCATTTCTAAATAAAAGTACATTTTAAATGTATCATGTAGTTCTTGGTTATGATAAATGAATGTGTATGATTTCTGAACTTGTCATGCTTATGTGTTTTAAGGTAGTGTGGAGTTTTGGAATTTATTTCAAATCGGGATGTTCTTCAAAAACTCTGCTAAAGTGGTCATAATGAATTCTGCCTGCATTTTCAAGGGCCTGGGTTTCAGCCCCCCTGCACACTCTTGTAATGACTGGATCGGCCCCCCTGACAAGCACTCCAACCTGCGGCCGGTCATCTTCTACGTGCCCCCTGAAGAGTCGCCCCTGGAGCGGCGGCTGCCAGGCCTGTGACCAGCGCTTCTGGGCACGGCACAACTGCACCTTCCGCCAGGTGAGCCTGCCACAACGCCCGGTACCGATTGGCTCCTGCTCAGCCAGAATGAGGAGGGTTTGGTCTCTGAGGTAGGGTTCAGTTCTGCCCACTGTTAGTGGCTGGTAATTGGTACCATTTCTTTTAATACACATGGTGTCTTTGTGGGTTTTTTTTGTCATTAATTTCTTTAACATGATGTACAAAACTGAAGAGCCTGCATATTTCATTGCTGTTTAGTGGAATATAATGATATTTGCCTTTTTCCTATCTTGCACTGAAAATACAAAATTACAGCCACCCTACATGTAAGAACTGTCTGTGACTAGAGCTGCTGTTGAAAATGATTCTGCAGCTCTTGCTGTGAGAGGAAATTAGGTGTAATCACGAAGGGTAGATGAGGGACATGTCCTGCTTCACTGGCAGTGTAGCCCAACAAGGCTAAAAGTGGGGACTTTTGTTAGGAGATGCTAAATTTCGTTAGAAGAACAGTAACAGTTCAGTAATTCACCATCATTTGCAACGACCTTTGATCATGATAGCCTCTCAAAACTTGCAAAGATCTCGGAGAAAAGACAAAGCTTGTTTTTTAATTCCATAGAACTGCTTTTCAAGTTGGAAAAACGTCTGCACAAATAATTATCCCGTTTCTGTATGAGTTTCAATTTTTTTAAGGCTGCGTGTTTTTCTCTATGTTCAGTAGAGCACATCTTCATAGTTTGTCTTGTAAACCAAAGGTTCAGATCCTGTCAAACAATACGGAAGCTCAGCTGTAACTTTATTCCACAAATAAGTTTTGTGTTTCAGTAGAACACTTGCATGAATTAATTGATGCATGCAGGTAGCAGGATCTAAGTGACAAAAGATAGCAGTTTAACTCACTCACTGGATTCAGGAAAATGTTTTGTTGACATTTCCAAGTATAACGAGTATTGCTTGTTGTTTCAGAAGGTATTAAGCACAACACTGCTGTGTGATTACAAACAATGGTTAACTTCAAGGACTGAGTACATCAGATTCTAATGTTGAAAAACATGTTGTAGGAAAAAGAAGAATTTATTTATTCAAGACTGAAAGCCAAAGGTCTGGAAATGAGAGATGAAACAGGTTAGTGAGATCTTAGTTTATGGTTTAGGATGCACTCTGTATTCTGTTTAACTTTGAATTTTATTAGTTTATGCTCTTAGTCCTGTCACAAGTAAATCTTGATGGTAGGATTTAGAAGTGTTTTCAGGAAATGATAAAGAGAGAGGTACATGTGGGGGTCGGATCACCTGTTGCACTGTTCTTTCC